TGAGCCACAGACTCGTTTTCTTGGCGGTTGCGATTGGGGACATACGATGATAGAGGGTGTTGCCAATTCCAGTCTCCTTTGTCTTTGTCGCTAATGTCACTCTGCCTATATTTTTTAACTATTACTTATATCGGATGTACGGTATATTTATATATCTAATGGTAGGGGACGCTCACCGATCGTTCATACGGAACTCACTCGTTCCGTTGTGCCTTAAGGACTCTCTCTCGAGCCCAACCAGCAGCCGCACAGCGGCGCATGATATATAGGCAGAATGATATTACCGACAAAGACAAGGGAGACTGGTTGGGCTCGAGAGAGAGTCCTTAAGGCACAACGGAACGAGTGAGTTCCGTATGAACGATGGGTGAGCGCCCCCTACCATTGTATATTCCCGATCGAAAACCGACAAGGCAACGGGCTCGTGGCCCGGTGGGTAGAGGCGTGGACTTCTAAACCAACAGGTCGCGAGTTCGAGGCTCGGGTGTTGCACACTTCGGGCTTGGGTATGGCTGGCTGACGACGGCTAATAAGCCAGAAATGGCCATTCCAGTCTCCCTTGTCTTTGTCGGTAATGTCTTTCTGCCTATATATATATATATACGAAAATCCATTTTAATGCTTGTAAAGTCATTGTCGTTTTATTGACATTGGTAACAAAAATGCTTTCATTTGTCTGTTTTTGCAAAATTAAACCCCTCGAACCAAGAACTATTCACGTGGGACCATATTCAACCTGTTGACCTATAAACACATCACAATTGTCACAGATATCCGAGGTGCATAGTAATATGTTAGGAAACAACCACCGGCTGTGAAATGTACTTCGTCATATGGTGGCAAATTAATTTCTAACTGATGCTTCACAAGTTGAAGAGAGTTCGCTTTACATTTTAGAACTTCAGTTGGCCGGGTGTCACCAGGACTTCTAAGTACCAATGGAGCAGAAATTGATTGCTTTACTTGAAAGACGACATCATAATTCTACGCCCACATCGCCTAAATTACCAACCCATATTTTGATTTGAAATCCGATTTTTCGAGTTTTTCCCGTCTGAGTGGACCATCCGCTAACAGACGAAATTCAGCTCTCACGAGAGTCAGTCTTGATCGATAATATGATCTTATAATAAGAACATGTGAATATATTCGCTTGTCCTTAGTGGCAACTGCAGTGAGCAGGGATTTCAGGCGCATTAATACCTCCTCGAGCCTATCCAAGTTGACGAGCGACTTCTGGTCTTGGGACATCGCGCTGTAGGTCGCCGGAAGATTGTTGTTGTGAACGAAAAGTTTGCGGAGTTCCAGCGTTCGGAAATTAGGGGTCACCAACTTGTGGCGGTCAAGGATGTGAGATCAACTTAAACCACGCATAATAAGTTCGTTTCGTCTAATGTCAGAAGTCAGGGAACTGAGAGGACTAGTTTATTCTGTACACAGGGTAGGCTGCCGTAAGTTGACTGTTTGTTTGCAACAGAGATAAGCGTCCGTTCACGGAGAGGGTCAGTCGCGGTGTTGTTTACGCGGGAGTGAGTGTCTGGGTCAGCAGGAGGGAGTGACTGAGTGTTGGTCGTGTAGGGTATCAAGCCAGAGCGTCCGACGCACGTGAGGGGATACCAGTAAGTGAAAGCAGCCGGGAGTCACTGCAGCTGGACAAGAGGGGCCCTAATTCTAGCCGGTGTGGGTGGTAGCGTGTCAGCGGCCTGTGAATGCTTGTCGCGGCTATCAATCGACAAAACGCAGCCGGAGAAATGCAGCGGTCTCTGCAAAGCGCAAGAGACGCCCGATCGCCGCACGAAACAGGACCTTGAATGTAACCATTGGGTCCACCGTATGGCCCGTGTCCACTAGGTGCTTTGTGATTGAGCTCCTGGGTACCTTATTTTCTGCCTTAAGCAGCCACTTCGACATGTGTCCAGCTGACCGAGCTGCCAACTGCCTTTGCGTGCGTCCAATGTACTTGCATCCGCAACTACATGTAAACTCAAAGATACAGTTTGATGTGGCGTGCATAGGCAAAATGTCTTTAGCTGGTCTAACTGGGATGGCTGTTGTGGTGCGTATGAACGGCAATTTAGAGGCAGCATACGTCCTTTCGATTGTGCACCGTAGTCGTCGCTTGATCACATTTGACACGTTATCACCCTTGAAGGGGACGTAGATGGTCACGGACTTTTTAGTAACAGATATTTCTTCAGGAGTTTCTTGTTTGCGATGACGGTATTTATCGATGAATTTTTCCGGATACCCGTTTGTAAGAAAGACTTTCTTTAGGAATGTAAGCTCGTCATTGATCGTATCTGAGGAGCAGATTCTGGTGGCTCTGTTGAACCGGCACAGAACCAAGTTCCGTTTACTCTGAATTGGAACAAAACTGAGGGAGTGCATGTATTGTCCTTTCCAGGTGGGTTTTCAATAGATGGATCTCTGAATAGAGCCATCTGCCCGCCTACGTACAAGAATATCCAGGAAATTCAGTGTGTCACTCTTCTCATGCTTGATCATAAATTTGATCTTTGGATGTGCTTTATTCAGAGCCTTGAGTAGTAGTTCTCCGTCGCCTGGGTTTTTTACTATGGCGACAATGTCATCCACATATCGCCTATACAATGAGGCTCGTTGTAAATTTCGGGCTAGGTTCCGCTCTAGATTAGACATGAAAATGTCCGCTAAGACTGGTCCCAATGGACTGCCCATAGCTACACCGTCGATCTGTCGATACAGCCGCCCGTTGAACAAGACCTGTACATTCTTTGTGCATATCTGAAGTAGTTCCAGCAGTTGCTCTGGTGGCAGGTGTGTTTCACCCGCATGCTCACAAATTATGTTAACTGTTTCATCCAGTGGCACGTTTGTAAACAGGCTCTGCACGTCAAGCGAGGTCATGTGTTTATTCAGTTGATTCTGATGCTTCAGCTCATCTACGAAGGAGAAAGTATATTTGGTAGTGTAAAAAGCAAGGTTGAGTCTGATTGATTCGATTTGCTGCACTAACCATTGGGCAGGTTTTTGTTGAGGTGAATTCCTCATTTATAAAATCGGTCGTAATGGTACCCCTGATTTGTGCAATTTCGGCAGTCCATATAGTCTGGGAATATACGACCCTACAGGCCTAAGACACGCAGCCATGTTCTCGTCTATTAGTTGCTTTTCAAGTAACTATTTAACCTTTTACCCACTGAGGTCTTCTAGCGCTTTTGTTTCTTCTTTCCCATGGGCTTCCGAGGAAAATTTGCTGGAGTTACTCCATATCGCTTCCATCTTTCTCACGTTATCAGTCTTGTTTAGGATCACGACCCCGCTTCCTTTGTCAGGTCTTGAGATAACGACTTCAGTAGTCTTACGTAGGTCAGTTGGTGCCGCGATATGTTGTCTAGTTAGCAGTGAGCGTTGTGTAGTCGGGAAAGTTCTGTATTGATAGACGATATCTACGAATTTCGCTTTCAACTATCTCACATTGTCCTCTGACGTCGGTGTTAATTCTGATAATTGGTGATATAGGTCTTCAAATTGAGCCTCAGTCTCTGTCGGATCTATTTTTCTTCTCGGCACACAAAACTTAAGTCCCAAAGAGAGGACCTCGACTTGCTGTTTAGTCAGTTTCAAATCCGACCTGCTAACAATGTAGTCATCTGAATTTACTGAAAACGATTCATCTACGGGTTGTTTGTTTAGCGACTTCATCATATCAGCGTGGGACGATTGTCTTATCTTAGCTTGCAAGTTCACAAAGTATGTTGTAAACAATAACCAACACATTGGACTCACCGAGTCCATCACATGCTTTGACTGGTCTAGCTGGCAGTGCATATTTGAAAGTGAGTATTCACATTCCTCTATTTTGGGGAGGGCGAGACGGTCAAGGTTTTGTAGTGTGGGCCGCAGGCCATCATTTCGGAGGGTTTTACTTAGCTGGTGAGGGTAAGCCCGCGTCTGTCTGCATGATTGTAGGAATTCATATCTAGTCTTTTCTCGGATGAGCTTGCATCTTATTTTGACGACCTGATCCAGCGACTTGATAAGAGGGGCTGGGAGGCATCTTTTCAGTAGATTGAAGCAATGTTTTCTCGGAATAAATTTGAATGGGGAAAAGGCGACAAAGCATGCAGTATTTATTGACGTCATAAATTTCGAGACCTCACATTCAGCTGCGTACGGCCAGTGACCATCTACGTCCCCTTCAAGGGTGATAACGTGTCAAATGTGATCAAGCGACGACTACGGTGCACAATCGAAAGGACGTATGCTGCCTCTAAATTGCCGTTCATACGCACCACAACAGCCATCCCAGTTAGATCAGCTAAAGACATTTTGCCTATGCACGCCACTTCAAACTGTATCTATGAGTTTACATGTAGTTGCGGATGCAAGTACACTGGGCGCACGCAAAGGCAGTTGGCAGCTCGGTCAGCTGCACACATGCCGAAGTGGCTGCTTAAGGCAGAAAATAAGGTACCCAGGAGCTCAATCACAAAACACCTAGTGGACACGGGCCATACGGTGGACCCAATGGTTACATTCAAGGTCCTGTTTCGTGCGGCGATCGGGCGTCTCTTGCGCTTTGCAGAGACCGCTGCAATACGGAGGAGGAAACCGGAACTCTGCAAGCAGCTGGACCACGTGATAAACCCAGCACTACCATGGTAGGGATCGATTATGGACGAAACCCTGTTCCCATATGCGCCCTCTCATTTCGCCTCGCCCCTCCTCGACATGACTGAATGCTGCCCGCGCGGTGCACTCTAAATCACGCCGGACAAGTTCTCAATGCAGTTTTAACCCTCATACTTGGATGACTTCTCTCCCCTTCCCCCCCTCGCCATATGCACCCGCATACTAGACCCATTTTTCAGGTTACCTATCAAGTTTTACCTTTCTAGGTCGATCGTTGATTGACCAGTTTGCCTTGTCATATAACTATGCAATGACCGTACGCAGCTGAATGAGAGGTCTCGAAATTTATGACGTCAGTAATTACTGCATGCTTTTTCGCCTTTGCCTTATTCGAAATCGCACTTATCCAGGTCGGGAGGGATGAAGGGGCTGGCCGGTGACGCCCGAGGCGGCGTTGCGCGGAGATTGCGCATGGCACTACGTAATTGCTCCACATAACTGCAAAGTTCGAAAAACGTTAGCGTGTTTGAAGGAGACACTAACTCACCGGACAGTCGTAAGGAGGTTCCGTAGACAAGATCAGCTGCAGTGCATCCGATGTCGGCCTTGAGAGTGGAACGGAGGGACAACAGCACCAGGGGAAGGTGATCAGACCATCGGGAATGATCGGGCTGGGTCATAAGGGAAGTTTTGAGTTGTCGATTGACGCGTTTGACGAGACCATTTGCTTGAGGGTGGTATTGCTGTTGTTCGAATCGGTTGGTACCGAGAAGGGATGTGAGCTCGTGAAACAGCGTGGACTCGTATTGGGATTCGCGGTCAGTGGTGACAGTCGCAGGAACTCCAAAATTAGACACCCAATGAGTCAGGGATGCTTTTGCTACGGTTTCGACACTGATGTCCGGAATGGGCGCAGCAACCGGCCACTGAGTAAACCAGTCAATGCATGTCAGCATATAGGCAGAACCGTTAGATGGTGGAAGCGGACCTACCAGGTCAATGTGCACATGACTGAAACGTGCATCAGAAGTGGCGAAAGTTCCTGGCCGATGCGTCTTAGCGCGCTGACATGGTAGACAGGTTCGGGCCCAACGCCGTACATCCCGGTTGTTTTTGAGCCAGACGAATCGGTCAGTGATGAGTTTTACTGTCGTCCGGACTCCAAGGTGGGATAGGTTGTGAAGAGCGTTGAACACTTGTCGTCGCAAAGTTGCTGGGACAAAAGGACGTTCGTGTCCGGTCACACGTTATGGTGCCAGTGCCAGTGGAAAGGGGGACATTTTGAAGGCGTAAAGAAGAGTCCTCGTGGCGGGATTAGGAGAGTTCGTCATCCGATCGTTGAGCATCAGTTGTGAGCGTGAACTCTATGGCGTCTGTTGTGACGGAAGCCATCTCGATTCTTGAGAGAGTATCAGAATATATTCACTTGTTCTTATTATTAGAGAAAAGTACGCCCACCATATGGATTGTGCAGTAGACAGAATATAGATACCAGTTTCAGATATGCCTAAAATTGTCTCCTGCGTAAAAATGACTCGTTTTGTACTACTGCTCGAGTAAAGACCCTCGATACTTGTCATAATTTGAAAATTTCGATAAACGAAAGCAAAAAACCCTCATATTTCGTGAGCTCAAAAAATACTGAAAACCTCCGCGCGCCAGAAAATTTAACGAGTCTAAGCGTCACCAGAATGCACAAGATATTTTTACCGCTGGATATTCACCCAGCTACACAGAAAATGTGATAAATATGATTGTATTTCCTAGTCACATGGCGTTATGAAAACGCTTTTTTCTGTGACTTCCCTATCCTCGAAACAGTGCAAAATAAACCTCGATGCAGTCATCTACAAAGTCCGAAAAACTACACCAATTTCCTGTGATACCAGTTTGTTCATTTCGATGCACCTATGAAAAACTCGGCGCCTCAGTAGGATTCAAACTCAGGGCAGCGAGGCGAAGACTTTAGTTCAGCCAACGCTCTAACCATCTGAGCTACGAAGCCCCACCGTAAGCCGTGAGTTTAATTACATCTGAGTCAAGTTACCTGCCCAGCCTATTATAACGCATGAATCCATCAGATCCGATACAGTAGGCCTATTGCTCAAGCGGGATTTCTTGAGCAGTGCCTCTAGAAACCACTAAATGGCTACAAGACTCACGTGATAAATAGGTGCCTTGGGAAATTCTGGATAATTTATTTAAATGCACCTGTGAAAACTTGGAGACCTCGCATCTCGGGTGGCTAGTGTTCGGTCTACTCAAGCTTACCTTTGCTGCTGTGGTCCGAATCCCACCGCAGTCGCCGAACTTTTCGAATTTCTCGAAATCTGCAAAATAATAGTTTGTATCACATAACCAAAAACAGAACCGTCAAGTAAATGTTATACGGCATTCTTTAAGGATGTCTATCCTGAGTATTGTCCGCCATGTGTACTCTGAACGCTAGTTCCGTTATGCAGTCTTAATTGTAATTAAACTCGCGTCGTTTGGCGGGACCTCGTAGCCCAGGTGGTTAGAGCGTTGGCTGTACTAAAGCCCTTCCCCCACTGCGTGGTTTCGAATCCCACCGAGTCGCCGGGTTTTTCACAGTTGGGCCAATATGAATCAGTCTTAATTACTCAAATATTTGAATAAACAGGCTTTATGTACTTCTACTAAATAAGTTTTTCTTATTCGGCATTCATGTTCGGGCTTTCAGCATATTCGTTTTTCTTAAGAATATTGCAACCGCTAGACGGCGTAATGTTAGCCTGGGAATATTCTTGTTGTTTTGACTTAAATGAAAGTCGTTGATTGATAACTGGGAGTTTTGTTCGAGATATTAGAAATTTTGCTTGCATTATCAAGCATTTCATAGTGTACCTCTAAAGTACAGTAGATCGAGTCGCATGAAAAGAAGGCAAAATATGGCAAGAACATCCCAGTGCAATTCTAAATAGGCACCTGGGAATCGACAAGCCACACAAGCTGCAAGCGATTGCCACGGGAAGCAATCGATCACCCGAATTTGCAGCGGTCATTGCAAATTCGACCAATCAGAATGACGACTACCGGTAAGGCTGCGCCGTGGGCATATGATTAATTCTGACCCCGAGAAAAGCCTGTGGCATTTCCAACAGCTGTTCTGTTGGGTTTGCAAACTAATACCCCCTTTAGAAGTGCGATCTCTTTAGCCGGTACGTGAAAAGGGCAGTTACCGGAAAAGTGGAGCCCCACTTTCGCTTTGAAGTTTACAGACTTGCCGGACAACAAGTACAGTAAACTTCGCAGGGCAAAGATGAATCGAAGAATTGGAAAGACGTGGAAAATGGTAAACATACTTCAGCAGCGAATAAGCTGAGAAGTCAAATCTCACCTTGCATGAATCAGCCTACCAGGAATTCATAACTCGGGCCCGTGGTGTTGCAAGAAAGTCGGCATACGAAACCGGCAAAGGAGCGACTTTGCAAGCCGTGGTGGGTGGGCAGAATCTTATAGAATTTAGTTAGCAAAGTCAGCAATGGCGTAAGAGACACCAATGACAGAGGAGGGTATGTGAGGGATTCGTTTAAAGTTAAAAACGACTATTTTTGATCATTAAGGCAAGTGACAGCGGAGAATGTTGGAGTCCGCAACTCGCCGTCTCCTGAATTGGGGAACGAAAAAGGAGGTAAGATTAGTAAAATTAGGTATCCTGGCAAAGAACAATACAAGAGGACACAGTTTTGGAAGAGGGACTTCCAGCATGAATTCCGTTGAAAGAATAAAAATAAGGAGTGGCAGTGGAGGAAGAAATCAATTAAATGAAATAAAAAACCATTAAAACAAACGGAGACGGAAATTTATGAATTATTCGCTTGAGCTAAAACACAAACCGTCGAGACACAGCGAGGAAGAAGGAAGCACGATCGCTGGGACAAGAGCTTTATTAGCCTGACGCTTCGGGTTCCTGTTCGAACCCATCATCAGAGACAAAAGCAGATACACGTCTGTTATTTTCTCTGACGACGGGTTTGAACAGGAACCCGAAGCGTCAGGCTAATAAAGCTCTTGTCCCAGCGATCGTGTCTCCTTCTTAAAGAACACTTCCTGGGACTCGTCTCTTCGCTTCTATTGATACAGAGTGATGTAATGTTCCTCTGTTTTATGCCAGAATACTACGTGTCTGTTAGGGATCCTCGTCAGTACCTAATGAGTCTATTATGATCTACTTCGGCATTAAATCGTTAAGCGGTCGTTTGTGCACAGGGGCTAATGGTACGTCATCACATGCGGTTCGCAAACGCTCGCCAAAGGCCCTCTGTTGGCGCCTCGTTAATCAAATCTGATGCTTTATTCGACCCTCCAAATACAAAAGACATTTTAATACATGTTTTGGATTACAGTTTGCGAAGCGACGAAGGGCCCAGAGAGTACCAATGAAGTAAAAAGAGTTAGCTTCACCCAAATGACAAAAGCATGTTTCCACGCCCTTCTCATCCAAATCCACCAACTCCTAGTTTGATTTGAATTCCGAAGATGATCCTCCTAATTTCGACTCCTAGTAGTCTGGGCGAAACATCCGTCTATGACTCGCATTCATCTCTTGAATGATATAAACTGGCCTGCATTACGGAGAGACACGCGGAATGCTAGTTCGTGTGGCAAACAGTTCAGTACTTGTCACCACGGAATAGCATTCACTCACACCAAATGCATTTCCGGTCCTCTCACATTTTCACACGAAATGTATCCTCGGTGCAAATATATAATTTGTAAAACCGTCGACACACACTGACGTAAAATTCGTAAGTGTGGTGTTAGAATGCAAACGGCAGTTTACCAGTTAGTAGGTCGAGTTAAAATTGCCGTCCATCCGCCTGTGTGTCCAATAGAAGGGTTGTCACAGAGACGGTGGCTTGTGCGTGAATTAGTCTTTCATGATAGTAGACTCGCGTAGTATTTACCGCACTCTCTCCTCCTTCCCCACCTGAGCCCGGTGTCGAGAAAAAATCAAGACCGGGGGGGGGGGACGGGAGATGTTGCAGGGGGCTTGCTCCGGCATGGAACCTGCACCTAGGCGTGCAACCACACCGCCTCTGTTCTACGCCAAAAGAACCAGGATTTCACCTAACAAGAAGTGGGCGGGTAGCTCGGATCCCAGCAGCGTTGGGTCTGCCAGGAAGTTCACATTAAGAAGAAGTTATCACATCCCGACACTCAGCCCATCAGTCGGCCATCCAACGCATAAACACACACTCTGTTGAATGCGAGGTCGTGATAGACTTAGGCGTAGGAAATGCACTTAGAGTAGGACTCACTCTACGTTTCCTCAATCATGCGCCAGCCGCCTGTCTGAGCCGGCCGACCACCTGACGCTGACGGCCCGCCTGCAGATGCCACGCACACAGACAACTGGCCCTCCATGCAACACACCAGGATTTAACACATAAGAGGTTGGACTGCTAGGATCTTACACCAGTCAGAAGGGCCACATGGAAATGGAGTCGAAAAACAAGTCCCCTACTTACGTGAGGGGCGCCGAATTCGTGCCAGCGGTGTGTGATGTCGAACGTGTTCGTGTGTGGTATTCGTGTTTATGGAAAAATGTGCGGTGATGTGGTTTATTCGGCGACGGTGTACCGCAGGTTTTCATAGAGATACATGTGATCGAGTTGACCCATGCGGTGACTCAATGTGCAAGAGTAATACAAATAGTTGGGGCGGTAAGTACGGGTGCATGATGAGGATTCAGGGATTCGTTCGCCAGTCTCCGTGCGACGGATTCACAAGTGATCCACCGAGCCGATGCGTGATGCGCATGTACGGTGATAATGTGGGCAGGAAAGGTTGGGAAATGCAGAGTCGATCGCGGTAGCGATGTTGTTGGTGATGGCCGTGCTAACGGATGTGGATTTGGTAGTACGGTGGAGGGAAGTGTTGTCGGGTTTGCAAGGCGTGCTTGGGGTCTCAATATTGCGGTGAATTCCGCTGT